TTTAAGATAATAAATTTTTTCGTCTAGTAGTATTTAAATTTTATATTTATTTATTGTATTTTAAAAATCCTTATATTATGATCATCTCAGCAATCTTGGTGTGATTTTAATAAAGGATTTATAAATTTTCTTATACCGATTTAAAACATTCAATCGGCGAAAATATCAACCGATCAATAACAGAGAAGAAAAGTTTTCGCCAAGTACGATAAAACAATGGCGAGAAACAGTTAAGAGGAAGTGCCATTTTCTGGTTATTCTCAAACAGTAATATGAGAACATTTTTTTCATATTTTTCGAACAGAGAGAATGTTTTCTTTGTGTGTCTTTAACGTTAAAAAAATTAATAATAATAAATTAATAAGCTACAACAACAACACTGCAATAACTTTCACCAACATGGAAATAAATCTTATAAATTTTTACTTCTTGACATTTAGTCTATAAGTTTTGAGAATAATTTTTTCTAAAATCAATAGCAGCATTAATTTACTGTAATATTCGTCCAAGTGTTGATTCACGTTTCATAGTTGAGTTTATGCATTGCCATTTCTTTATCTTTACTCGAATAAATATATTTAGATATACTTGTAAAACTATTTAAATAATATATTATTTGATATAATTCTTTTATAGTATAAACACATTATTTTTTCAAATTACAGTGATAAACACATACCATAAATTTTTAAAATGTATATAGGCCTATATCTAAATATTTCACGAAATGCCGTATTTTATTGGTTTCTACTGTATTGAAATGGAATTTCTCCTTTGATCGAACACTTTAATAGCGAAAAGTTATTCTTTGTTATTTTAATTAGTTTCCGTGTTATTTGGTTGCAATTCGGTTTGTTTGTCAAAATTAACACTTTTATATATTGTAACAGTTCAAGATTTTTCCGTTTTATATGAATTCCACGTTGTACGAGTCACATAGATTTTACAAATACGTGTGCCGGACTGTGAACGGCTCACGTATTTGTAAAATCTAAGTGACTCGTACAACATGGAATTCATATAAAAAGGAATAATCAACAGTGTTATAGGGGGGTCGACTGTATTTAGTTACCGGGGCCGGCTGTATATTTTTGCTGCTGATATTTTTCAAAATTTGCTACGAAAAATACAATTTATTTATTTATTTTAAGTTAATTTACAATTAAAAATTTTCAAACTATTTTTTTAAAAATATAATTAGCCTATTTTGCGAAATGCCAGAGATCTTTGCTGGTGCATAGAGCCGGTTTTGTTAGTAATACGAGTCTTCACTAAGATACTAAGGAAAAATAATTACAGTGATTTTTGTTTTATTCTATAATGTTTTTGTAAAAGAAATTATATTAATTAAGCATAATATGATCCATTTTTATTCCAAGAGCAAATAGTTGCCCATTGAATATTATAATTTTATAAGTATTTTACAATATTCAATGGGTAGAACGTCTTAGATTAGATAAACGCAATAAAATTATTTATATTAATAGATGGATTTTATCATCACTGGACTGTAAAGTGAATCTTGTTGAGAAATAAATTCGAAACATTTCCTAACAATTTAAATTTTTGTCACAAAATCTGCTACATTATTTAATGCCGCCATATTAACGATACAGTTACTTGTTCTTATTTACAAGGGGCAATGCTCCTAACAGATCTCGGAAGCATAAAATTGAGCAATTTACTACAATGTTAGCGGCATTGCCTTATATACTACACAGCGACAGTTTATAATCCAAAAAAATTAAAAAAAAAAAAACAAAAATGTTTACGGACGACGATAAAATATTGTGTAAATCAAAACTTAATTATTTTTAATCGTCCAGAAACGAATCTCTTACGATTAGAATAGTTTCGATCAGTAAATAAGTCGATGATCGCGATTGGTCGACGTACTCCTTGCTGGAGTTGTCACGATGTACAACGTCACCGTTTGCGTCATCCGTCCTGGTTGGCGTCTCCGGAGGCTATGGAAGAATCGTGGGTTTTTTTTTCGCTTGTAGTCGAGGAAAAATAATATGTGAAGAACGTATTCTGTTCGGTACACATTTTCAGTATGTGGTAAGAAGTACGTAGAGAAGATTGTACTATGATTTCTTAACTTAATAGAGTAGAGACTCGTAAATGGAATGGGAGTCGATTACAAGATCGCTGATGTCAAGGTTAGTCAAGATAGTTTTCATCAAACATGTGGATTTTTGATTTTTGTCAAAAGTTCCGATTTAATATATACGACTATAAACGTTAAAATAACCATACATTCAAAGTTAGTACAGTCAGGAACATTGAGTAACTCTTAGATTACTCATTTCCATAGTCATTTTTAAAGGAATTCATTTTCATGACTAAATATAGCTGTGTAAAAGACAAGTTGTGTGAGTAGAAGTGTTAATCGTGGATTTCCACCAATAATAATACAGTATGTTGCAAATCCATGTGGAAAGTACATCTATGTTATATATTATAATGAAATGGAGCTACATCTGTATCTTAAAATTTCATATGATGGTGAAATTTTCAATGAATGTTTTAGTTTACAGTAGTAGTTCACAATAATTGTTAAGTTACACAAACTATACTAAAAACGTGCTCCAGACTCAAAAAAATTTATCATCTAGTAACCAAACTAACTATTGTTTTATCATCTATATATAAGTAATTACTTAGTTTGATTTTAACAATTTCCCATTGAGCAGATAAATCATTGTATTATCTAAATCATATCAATGTACTGTATATGTATATACAGTACATTGATATTATTCAGAGGCTTATGCTAGTTAAAGACAGCTTTCGGTGTATCAGTTTTGTGTTTAATTTCAATCTCTCTTAATTTCAGTTTAAAACATTGATATGAAACAAATAGTTGAGACATGAACATTCTTTAAAATTAATTTTTTGGAGATTAATTTATCATTTTGTTTATGATGAATAGTCTTGTTTGCAATGTGACTATAATTAATCATTTTTTTTTAGTAGTGTAATATAAGTGTCAATATTTTAGTTTAATATTGGTCTCCAAAATCATAATCATGATTTTGACAGGAATTTAATAGATTTTCTCAGTGAAGCTACATAATATATTTTTCCAATACTTTTTTAATTTTCTTAGTTGGTGCTTTAAGAACATCAAAGATTTAATTGATTGACATGTTAACAACTGTATGGAGATTGACAAAATTTTCAATGTGATTTTTCATTTGTTAATTAAGAAAAGAAATTAGATTTGTGTGTGTCTATGTTTCAAGAAATGACATTTCTTGAAATGATTAATTTTAGAGTAACTTTATATAAAAAAAATATTTGAACTAAAAAGCTAAAAAACTTTTTAGCTTGGTCTTATATTTTTATGTTACGAAATTTATTTATTTTTAAAAAAATAAAGTTTATAACATAAAAATATCAAAATGCTTTTTTTTTATTCTTATTGCTATTATTATAGCTTTTATTTGAAATTATATATGGTATAATTTCAAATATACATATAAGTTTCTCAAATCATGTGTTTATATAATCATTTCTTAAATACCCAAATGAAGAACTAATTTTCTATAAAATAACAATATATATTTCCTTTTTGAATGCTAGATTTACTGTAACAAATGCATATATTTCATAAATAGTTAATAACATGTTTAAAAAAGGATTTTTGTACTTACAATTATAACAGAAAAACTATCAAAAACCAAATGTCAATGTTTTTATAACAAATTATACTTCATGACAAAGCTGCTTTCAATATAAGCCATATATTGTTAGATTTTTTTTATTTATACTTTTTGTTGTTTGATTGAAGTTCTCGTGAAGTTCTTTCCCAAACTCCATCTCGTTGGGTTGGTTTCTGTGTGTATCACAATTCAATATAGTGATCCAGGTTCGGAAAGCACACCTCCACACTCAAATTAATAATATTTACAGTTTATTTACAGATTCTATATGCAGAATGTACAAGTTCGAAAACACAGTATATAGCCTACAGCAGGGGTCGCCAAACTTTTTTAACCGTCGACCCCCAATCACTTTCCAAAGCCTCACATTGACCCCCACCGTAAAGTTTTATTATAAGTGTATATGTATGAGCGAAAAAATAAAAAAAAAAGTTGTGGGTTGTGGTCTCTGTCTAAGCAAAAAAAAAAAGTTTGTGGCCCCTTAGCCGCATCGACCCCCTAACCGACCCCTTCGCCGCATCGACCCCCTAATTGACCCCCTAGCCGCATCGACTCCCCAATGATGTTGCATCGACCCCGGGGGGGGTCGATATCGACCACTTTGGCGACCCCTGGCCTACAGGATAACAAAGCGTAGTGACTCATCTATATATATAACCCATTCAACTGTCCGTCTGTCCCGTAACCGTTTGATAACGGACACTAGAGGCGCCCCTATCGTGTGTCATATTTAAAACATTCAAATTAAATTAACAATTTTAATTATTATTTAAATGAACAATATAAATTATTATTATTCANTATTAAACTTTGGAGAAGCCTCAGTCAGCTTGTGGAGTTGAGTCAACTGCATGGTCAGTCCAGTCTCCGCACTAACCCATCCCTGAGATGTTTACCAGAGGAGAACACACTCTCTACGCTCAGTGGGCTTCCCAAGTGCCTGAGACTACCGTATACCAGTCTCTTGCCCTTCTCTCCTCCCTCTCCCGTTCGCCCTGCAATTTAAGGGTTTTTTGGATGGGGACTTCTGACCAATCACAACCCTTTCTTGCCTGAACAGCTTACAGTTGGGTCTGCCATCATCTGACGAGAGTGGAGCTTACATAAATGTCCGCCACTTGTTTACATTCAGTAGTTTACCATATGGCAAATGGTCTATCGTCTGACCACAGGTGGGTCCAATTGACAAATTTGGCACTTCCTTTGTTTTCCCTCTGTTTACAAGTCAACACCTTACAAGTGGTATATTGCCTGACTGCAAGTGGGTCCAATTGACAAGGTCTCTTCTTTTGTTCCCTCTCTGCTAAAAGGCCAATACTTTACAATTGAATTACTAAACAGTTATTGATAGATGTAAGTGATGCTGTCATCCCATCTATCCAATTTAATAATTAAATACAATCTAATTATTAATTTGGAATATCTAGAAAAAATATTTAAAATAGGATTCAAACAATACAATTCATTCATACTAGTCATATTTTACTAATTATGATATCGGGATTAATGTTCTAATCTTTGCTTCCTACCATCTTTCACTATCCTTTGGATTTGCATTGCTTCAATAAACTGAAAACTGAATTAACTTTCTACAGTGCTGCTCAGGCTGACTAATCATTCTATTTTAATAATCAACTTATATTAAAGTTAAAAAGACTAACATGCTTATTGTCTGGTTAAAATGTTAACTATAAGCTTAACATGTTTAATCTATGCTTCATCATTCTTTTGTGATAATTATACTCTGAGACCAATTCAATAGTGTTTTTACTTTTATGATATTTTTTTTTAGTTTCCTTGAAAAACATTAAACAGGGTTTGACTATATATTCCATTTTCTTCGTGAGATTTTGGCATTCCACCAGATTCTGTTCAATTTCTCAAACTGTCTTTTCTGGTTTCTTCCTGTTCTATTGCTCAAGTATTGTTCCTATCTTGACTTAATTTCATTCTTGTATTGGTCAAATACTAAAGTTCTACATTTCCATTTATATACTATTCTATACTTCTCTCATATAAATAGTTTTTCCCCATATTCATATAGATAATTCAGAAACTCACTGAAGTGCATTTGAAAGAGATTATGCAAAAGTTAATGAAAGATAGTTAATTAACAGCATAGGCAAAGTCCCTTTGTGGATAATTGACTATTGTAGATTTGATATTTTCACCACAATACATACTTAAAATAACTAAAGAATGTTTTTTGGTGTAACTTTAAAAACAGTTAATAGCAAGGTTGAGGCCAAAGTTTTAAATGCAAAAACGTGTACTTTGGACATTCATTGCTGCTTTCCTGTAAGCCTAGAATGTCTGTTTGGAATGTAAAGCATGATTTAACTGACTATCAAGTAGAGATACAAGTAGTACAAGTAAAAATAATGGTGATAACTAGGTATAGTTATAAACATTGTGCATAAGTGTGCATATTGTAATCAGTTACTGTGGGCACATTCCAGAATAAATACAGCAATGGTGTTTAGATTGTATTGAACTTAACAATTAAGTAAAATATTAAACATTGGTTTATTTTTATTAACAAAGATTCATGGAAATGCAGATAATAAATCACCTTCAAAGAAACCAAAAATCATACTGAGGAAGTATTGTAATCTTTGTACAGAATTATTTTACTTATTATTAATTCTCTTTAAACTGTTGTCTTTTTAATGGTGTAATAAGTCTAGCTATAAAATGCTATTATTAAGCACCACAATAGAAATGCATAAAATATCACTCTGGGCCATTTTTTTCTTTATAACAAAATAGCACAGATATGATGTCCATTTAATATAATCTTGTCTGTATTGTTAAAATTTTTTCCCCCTCTTAATTTTTAGCCATGTTGCAATTTTGCAACATGTGGCCGGAATGATTTTTCTCATTATGTTATGCCATTTTGTCTGCTAATCATAAGGTTTTGAATTCAAAAAGAATTTCTACCATAATCAGGGTTGCATAAATGAATCAATACAAATTGAAGAGAAATAAAATCATCACTAAAATAATATACCTACTGTTATTTTTACTGTTTATGGCCACTAAGAGCAAATCAAAATTGTTTCTTGAATATTTGTTTTTGCATTGCATATTTTCAAGATATTGTACTTATTTACGTTCAATGTGCAAGAAAAATAGAAAAGACAAATTTCACTTATATTTCATATTTTATAGGGGGAAAAATTAAATTTCTATTAGTATTTTATCATTAAAAAAAAAGTTACTGGGCTAAGTGAAATTTCCAATCCCACAGGCTATACTCTATTTCCGTTACATTTATATGGCCAGCATGTTGCTCCAAAGTTACATGGCACAGATTTCAATGTATAGTGTGTTGCAGAAATGCAACATGCAGCTTTAGTAAATTGCTGGGTGTGTTACTTATTTGCAACACATGGCACTTAATGTGTTCAGTCCTTTAGTTAGCTCCATAGTATTACCAGACTACTGGTATATTCAACAATGCCATTCTGGAAAATGATTTCTTGAATAGTTCATTTGGGATATGTATTATATTATATTGGGATAGTATTTTTCTAGGCTTTTGATGCTTAAGTGGTACCTTACACATAGGAGATTAACTTTGTTACTATACCATGTAAACTGCTGTTCACTCTCCAGAAGCCAGTCTTTCCCATATGAACATTGCAGCTTTAAACAGTTTCTGTGACTGTATCAAAGAAGTCATTTCTCCATTAATATCAAGTTTATCTTTATAATTTATATAAACATTGAATTTTTAAAATAGGAAGCCAGTTTGAAGACTCAATTTTTTAAAGAGCTACATTGAGCATGCACGTATCTTCAAGATGGACAATTTTTGAATTTTCAGAAGATGTATTCTTTTACAAACATTCCAAAGCATAGAAACCTGATGATAACTGTTAGATGGAAAAAATGTTCGTTTATGAGAGGTTTAATGCTGGTTATAGGTAATTGCTTATTTATTTTTTGCATTAAATATTAAGAATTTCATGTGAACTTGGAAAAACTAGAAAATATTTCCTATGGACAAACTTTAAAAGTGTCGTCCTCCTTTTTGAGTCCCTTTGTGCATTAGTAGGAAATAACAATTTTACAGTGGAGTCAACCTTTATTTGGAGGCTTCTCTCCATCTCAGCATGCAAAATGTTATGTTTTATTAAATGTATAATTAAGAATTTCCTATACCACAATATACCTATTGAACATTTTTGTATTTAAATAAGATATATTAACACTATATTAACAAATAGCATGAAACCATAAATTATTGAAACAACTTTAAAACATTTTTGGAAGAATTTTTTTTTCTTCTTTTCTCACTGAAAGTAAAATTTTAAGTTTTTCTTTTAAAACAGCAGAGCTATGTGTTATCATGATATAAGTAAGATCAGTGTTATTATCCTTGCAGCTTAAAGCCATGTGTGCAAAGTAATTCAACATACTGTGTAATCAAAATTAAGTTTGAATAATACCTAACAACATGGTGTTACATAAAATTTGGGTTTGATCAGCTGAGTACCAGGCCTGGACTTGGATTACAATGGGTGTAATTTTCATGACTTAACAGAAAAGCAAAAGAAAAAAAGAATAAAAAATGACACACATGTAAGCAAAAATCAATGATTATATATTATAATTTGACTTAATATTTATTAATAACTATGAACAAGAAGTTAGTATTAAATATATTTCAAGTATTCAAACACCAAACCCAAACAATTATAAAAAAAAAAAGATTTTTCCCAACTTGGGACTTAAAATTAACTTAATCTAGTCTCCACCAGGACAACTAAATCTAATTCAATAAAAAAATATATACATTATCTCTTATAAGTTAAGTGCCTAACCATCACCAATAAAAAAAAAAGTCTGCCAGAAAATTCTCTGTCCAAACAGTAGATTGTCTCTGGTACTTGTCAAGTTTGCTTTTGGGAGCAACAACTCCCTGTTGAATTGATATGTCTCTTTTATCTGGTTTATTGTGATGTTACAAAGGGTGTATTTACTTCTGAGCTAATTTTACTCAGCCTGTATACTTTCATCAGAGTACCATGCTCATTGGCATTTACTTTAGAGTTATGTGATGTCATATTTAGCAAAATTAGTAAGCTTGGAGTGCTAGCTAGTTTGTTGTGGAGCTTTGTGCTAATTCAATATGGCTGCTCCCATGAAAAAAGTACTTTCTGTACAAAGTAATGAAAATGGAATTATTTTTGGAAAAATAAACAGCAGAAAGTATTTTTATTGGTAAATTTCAATTATTTGTTGTATGAAATGTTTACAATGATCTTTTTTTATTGTAAGGTTCATCACTTTAGATGACTTTTTTCATAAACAGATATGAAAAAAATTAAGTTTGACTCATTGTTTATGATTAAACAAAAAGAAAAACCAAGAGGAATTTGAAGTAGAAGGTCCTTGAAGGGAATATGATTAAGAAAAAATTACAAGGATAAACAAAAAAATAAAAAAAAAAACTTGCTTGGGAATTACGATGCAGTGGTGCAAAATACATTTCAGTAAATATGAAGAAAACTGTGAAGGGCCAAGTATTAGTTCTAGTGTGCAATACAGAATGGTGCAGAAAAGGCAGAGGGCAGTCTGTTAAGTTTAGTGAGGAATGTAGGTGGGCAATATTCAAAGTATTCTACCAATTGCAGCTTCAAAAGGAATTTATTGCATGGCATATTAAGCAGATGCTGAAGAAAGCATGCACAATAGGTAAAGCAGAATCATGTCATCAAAATACAAACTTCTTTTTCCTTCCATTGGAAGGAAATGCAGTCAAATTGTGTCATAAATTATTCATGAATACATTAAGTATCAGTGAGAAAGCAATCTGAACAGTATTTGAAAAACTTGAAATAAATTGCCACCAGTATGATCCAAAGATCATCATGGTGGTAGATGTGCTGCAGCTGCATTGAGGGATCACGCTAAACAAAAGCTGATTGAAGATCATATTTATTAATCACTTCCAAAGGGTGGAGTCACATTACTGCCGAAAAGATAGTATACTATTTTATTTAAAGTCAAGTCACTGTGAAGATATTCCCAAGCACTATGTTTTTAGAAGTGATGATCCCAACATTGAAAAACAGTGTTTCATATCATACCATACAGTTTTTAAATCCATGAATTTTTCATTTCACAGGTCCAAAAAGAACCAGTGCAGTTTATGCAAAGCATATCTCCAGGCATCTAAAGAAACAAAGCTACAAATCCAAGACATTTATGGCAGGTATATTGCTTCCAAAAATGCTATGTGTGAGATCAAAAACTTTTGCAAGCTTGCTTTATTTATTGTTTTGATCTTCAATAGGTCATCTATTTTCCTGTATCAAACAACAGTGGTATGTTACAAAAGGTTTATTGTTTATAATTTAACTTTTTATGACAGCCTCTTGGGATTGTTATTGCTTTACTTGGAATGAGTGCTAAAGTGGTTGAGGTGCTTCTGAAGTATCAACAGCACTGTTTAGAACGTTTCTGAAATACAATGAAAGGAAGGTCCATACTGCCATATTTGCTGATGGTTGTGGGGGATAAAATCAGAATTCCATCATGGCAAGAGCAAACATTGTTTTGCAGTTGAAACACTTCAATGAAGCAAGTCTTCATTTCTTTACCATTAATCACAGACATTGTAAAGAACACTTCACTTACAGTGCAATCCATACTCAATTAAAAAGGCTGGTGAATTGTTTGTACCTTCTCAGCTTATACCAGTCTTTCATCTTGTAAGAAAGGCAAAGTCTTATATAGTGCACTCTTTAGGTTATAATTTTTTAGACTTTAAAAAAATTTAGCAAGAACCTCAGTGCATTCTATCTGAATCAATGATGAGGGAAATGCTTTTAAATGGAAATGGACACATATTGTTGAATTCAATGTAATGAAGAATGAGTTAGGTAAAATATTTTTTAAAACAAGCCACATTGATCACAACTACCGATCATTGACTTTAAAACAGCAAAATGCACTACTAATGACAAAACAACTTAAATAAGAAATCTCGTCCATTGTCATTGGAAAAGTATGACCTAATCACTCTTTGCTCTGAACCAACACCAGTGATAAATTTGCTTGAACATGTTCAGTTTTATAAATCTTTGCCTCATTCGGTAGAGTAAAAGAAAAAAAAAGGGGAAAATGTTGTTACATACACTTTAGTTTCTTCTCTTGTCAAAAAGGTTTCGTTCATTTTTATTTTTATTCTAGAAATATTATATCATTGCACTTTAAGTGATACACCAGTAAACAGATGGAAACTAAAAGATGCTAAGCAGTGAGGTAGGCTGACTTATATCAATGAGTTTAAACGAAATTTTTGAATTGCATTTTTGTTTTTCCAAAGTATTTTTTTAATTCACTTTTGTACCTCACATATTTTATTCTTAAATAGTTTATCCTTATTAGTCAATTTACTCTTATTTTTATGTTTGTCATTAAAAATTTTTCAGTATAATAATGTCTTTCTTCATTTTGTTTTTATTGTGCACAGAACCTTTTATTTTAATAGCAATCAGTTTATTTAGTTACTTTGAACCAAATTTTAATATTAAATTGTAGTTATGCCTTAATTCTAAAAGGTGTATCTTGTTAAATCAGAAGAGCTTTTTACTATTAGCAAAACATAAAAGCTTGTCTCAATTATTTTGGAGCCTTATTTTATGGAAGCCAGTGATAAATTTGTGTGTGTTATAGTATTTACCAAGTATTGTAAACAAAAACTTGAAAAAAGCAGTGCTTTATACTCAATAGTTTCTTATTTATGAAGAAAATATGAGTCCTTTTTCTTTAAATCACTCTCCTGAAAAGGTGTGAGAAATGCCCTTATGTATTTTTAACAATATTAGCAAGATGATTATTATTTATAATCATTATCTTGCTAAACTTTTTTTTAAAAATTAATAATTGCAAATTTTTTTAAGAGTCAAGTTAATTATATTTAAAATTTTTAATTGTAAATTTCATCAGAAAAACATAACAATTTTGTAATTTTAAAAACTACAAATTTGTATAACTTTAAAATTAAGAATAAGACTACACAAGGAGCTGAAGAATGATAACACTGATCATGTTCATTGAAATTTTCACATGCAGAAGAAAGATGGAAAATAGCAATCACCTGTGATACTTTTGTATATTTTAGCATATGATTGCAGCCTCATTAAAATGTTGAAGAGAAAATTAACTGATGATGATGTGGATAAGACATCAAAAAATGACCAAAAGATTTTAATTATTCATGGGAAAAATAATATTGTAAAAATGTTAGTGGCATTTTCTCCATCTTTGTAAGTTATATTATTGCTCATTGATATTTTTGTTGCATTTCTGCATATTGTAAAAAATTCATTAGTAGAGGGAAAGTATGTATTCTATGATTGAGCAAAGCCTAAATTACATTATATAAGTTTACTAGCTACTTGAACCCTCTCATAAATTTGCACAAGTTGGCAATCATACAGCAAGTAACAATTACATATGGCTAGTGAATTCAGATACAGTTGAACCTGTCTATCTCAAGACACATTTATCTTAAAATTTATTTTCTCCCTTGAATTTTCTGTCTAAATTCACTATATTTTCCATGTTTAATCTCAAATGATTTTCTCCCAAAACCTCTATAGCTCAGATTACAGAAGTATCAATTAAAAATTCAAACTTTGACTACATTTTGATAGCATAAATTGTAGTACACATTTACTTGAAAATCAGCTAGATAATCTGAGGAATTTCCTTCATTATCTGTTTGCTTTTTTTCCCTTTGCCTCTGCAATGATGTTTCCAAAGAGTCTATTTCCAATGTTTTGATTTTCATCCCCACTCAACTATGAAATTGTATGAAATTACATTTATTCTAATGCCTTACTGTAAACGTTTGAAAATGTTTGTCTATTCCTTCAACTTTCTTGTATTTTAGTATACTAAACTTCATGCA